CCAGCGCTCCCACACGAAACACTCTACTATGCTTTTCACTCTGCCCCAGCTGACGTAGGGCACGTGCCGTGCTGCTGGCGGCCTCACATCTCGAAGTCTGCGTGCCGACCCTCCTCGCCCTGCCGTCCAGCGAGTCGCCGCCGAGGTCGCGGTGGGCGATGACCAGCTTGTCGTCCGAAAGACTCCACCTGGGATCCTGTATCAACGCAGCCAGCTGAGAGCGGTCGGACATCATGAATCTAGTCTTGTCCCAATTAATAGGCAACCTCCTAGATTCCAGCTCCGAGGTGACAATCTCGAAACTCTTGACCGTGTTTTCAACAACCGTCCTGGGGCCTCCGATGGTATGCGTCGTCAAATCATCGACAACATTCAGCGCACGACACGGAGGCGTCTCCTCAGCCAGGCGCTTGAGGAGGCACAAGGTCATCAGCTTCGCCACACCTGTTGCCGCACTGCATCCAGCCACGATAGTCCCATTCGGATGACTGACTCTGCTCGTGCCCCCTGTCCAGCGCGCACGGCGTGGTGCTCGATACAGGCAGCAGAGCGCCTTCAGCAAGGCGCCGTCGAAGTTGTAGTGCTCTGCTGCTTCTCTAAGCTGCTGATGACTGACATTCTCGTAGAACTTGCGGATGTCATAGAACACAGTTATGGCCGACAGCCTCTTCCTTCTGGCGTAGCAGGCCAGCATGTTGTGCACGTACGCCGCCTTGTCGCAACTGGTCGTGGCATCTTTTCCCCAGAAAAACTTCGCATCCACAGATACCTCCCAACTCTTAACATACTGCCTCCTGCATCTGCTCCAAATGCGTGCCCAGAAGCACAAGAGCCCTATCGGGCGTGTGCCTCCTCCTGGCTTAGGCAGAAATACATTGATCGTGACCCACATGCGCTCACAGTGCGGATTGCGCTCCCATCTCGATATAATCTCTTGTAGCCTCCGCACAAACACCCCATCCAGGAAGCTTACCAACCTCATATGAAAGTTGTCCCAGCCAAGCCCAGTAGACACACCAAAGGAGCGGCAGACCTGGACGATCTGGTCCTCCGAGATCTGGTCGAGCTTCCACGGGTAACTCCAGTCAGACGGCGCTGCCTCCTGGGCCCTGTCGTCAGAGATCCACAGCTCTTCCCATTCCTCCAGCACCGCCGTGATCGCCGCGGCTCCCACCAGACCATGGGGCTTGCCCTTGGCCAGCGTGGGCGCCTCCTCCAACATCTTGGGTCTGGAAATCGCGTGCGCAATCCTGCCAGAGCCGTCAGCTGCGAGCTCGCCAAACTCTCTCCAGGCTTTGCTCCTGGCTTGTGAATCCTTGCGCCTGCGCAACTCCACCTCCTCCGCAAGCACAGTCCGAAACCAGGCAGACAATTGACCTCCCCTCTTGGCCAGGGCGACCCACTTCTGGACCTCCTTTGCCTGCAGGGATGGGGAATCCGAGATGGCCTCAGGGAGCCTCAGGGCCAGCAGCTGCCTTTCGCACCTCGCGGAGTGCTCTGGTCTGCCTGCTTTCGAACCAGGCGGAGCTGACGATGCCACACATAGGCCATCCCATAGCCTGAGGGCACTCAGCCAGGCTCTGGTGTCCGACTCGTCGTGGCGCTCAAGAATAGACTTCGCACAATCCACCAGCCTCTTCTTCTTGAGTACCACGCCCTTCTCCCTGCCAACATAGAACCTCCTGTCCGAGGACGGAATCTCGAACAACTGCACCAGGTACTTCTCCGCCGCGTGGAACCACATCGCTGCCGCCTCCTCGACCGAGCTCACGGGGGCGTCCAGCTGCCACTCGTCAAGCACAGGTACCAATGGCGGTTCCGTGGTCGAGGTGAGTCCGGTCTCCTTGGCACACAGATCCTTCTTCCTGGTCTTCCTCTTGGCCTCCTGGTCGGCCAGAGGAAAGGCTCGTGGGGGAGCCTCAACCCAGACAAATGGCTCGTCCCTGAGGCCCTCAAACTTGATCTCCACGTAGCAGTGTGGCGAGATCGGCGTGTCCACCCTGGCCTCCACCGACATGGGGAAGGCGTCCAGAGCCTGGGAGCCAATGAAGTAGTCATACTCTTTGCCATTGCAGGTTGGGAGGCCAGGTGCGAAGATGGTGGCGGTTGCCAGACCCAGCCAGCCTATCTCCATGATCTCCTCGGGTTCTAGATTCCAGTCGCCTCCCAGCAGGAACGGGAAACGCTGCGCCCCCAGGAAGGCGCTAAGGAACTCCAACAACTCCAGGTTCTCGCCCTTGGGGCCGATGGAGTCGACGCCGTAGACTGAGCCGATGATGATCCACGAGTGCGTGCCAACCGTCATAAGTCTCATCACCACACGGTGCTGCCATCTCTCCGGCACCTGGAGCTTGGCCACCCCAATGCCCATGGCCGCAGACAAACCAACTCCTGCTGAGAGTGATCTGGCCGATTCTCCAGTGCGCTTGGCAGAGCCCAGCGCGAGCTTCCGAGAGCAAGTGCGAGACCATTGATGGGCCCCTGCTTCCCCCGACTGGTCCAACACGGTCTCCTGAATGCATAACACATGCGGCATCTGGCCCTGTTTCTCAATCCATGGCATGGTGACCCGAGCCCTTGGCCACGTATTCGCATTCAGAGTGCCCACTCTGAACGTACCTAGGGCACCGCGATCCTCAGGAGGGAGCCCTTCCAACAATGAGATGACTTGCTTCTGCTGCAGCGCTGCTTGAGACTCTCCAAGAGGTTGCTCAACACTGACTCCCTTGGCTCGAGACCCAACACGTGGCGACTGAACCTGGGTGGGCACTTCGTCCGAGCATCGGTTGCCCCCAGGATTTAGCGATCTAACTCCAGACTCCCACGATGGGTTCTCACAATCTACTCTGAGACAGCCAGGCTCGAGGAGCACCTGGCTGTCGCGTTCTGACGCTGAAATTTCCTTCCTGCATCCGACAAAAGGTTTGGGCGGGAGGGCCGCCAAGCCCTGGTTGGGCTTGACGGCTGCGATCTGACTGGCTGTCACGTACTCGGCGCTCTGACCTGTTGCCGAAGCCCGTGGCCACTCTTCCTCGCAATTTAACTCTGAGGAGACCAGGCTCGAGGCGCACCTGGACTCCGATCCGACAAAACAGGTAGACGCCACCCGCGAAGTCGACGTCGCCACCGCTGCCGAGGGAGTAGCCGACACTGGCGCAGACGGCGACACCGCAGCACAGGGAGTACCCAACCCCGACGATGACCACTCCACCGAAGAAGATGGCCTCGACGATGCGCACGTGGCAATCGACTTCGTCGTCAATGCCCGTCCCTCCAGCGCCGCTGCCCGCCTGGGACTCGCCGCTGCCGCGAGGCAGGCGGGAATCCTCGGGCTACTCCTCTCAGGAGGGGGTGCGCTCGCGGCCGCCTTCTCAGGAACGGCACCAAGAGATGACCAGGACCAGGGAGTCGCCGAACTCGACCACGTCGCCCCCACCTGAGTCGAGCTCACGCTGTTGCTAAAGACCCGCCCGTTTAGCAGCTTGGACTCCACCGTCAGCAGCGACACGAGAGCGGATGTCCACCTGTGGGGCGGCCTTGCCCAGCGCATCCACCGTCGCCTCGGCAGGTGAGCACGGCGTCGCTGTCTCTGGGCTTGGCGATGCCCCTGGTCCAGGCTCGATCCCACCTGTGGCTGCTGCTTGTTCCCCAGGGCCGTCATCAGCGGTACGTCGCCGCTTTGCTTGAAGACGTTTGAGGTGCTCCTTGTGCTGGTCCTGAGCGGAATTGGCCTTCTCCAGCGCTTGGCGAAACACCGATCCCAGCACCTCTTGCATCTGCTTCGCCACGTCGTTCTTGCGTTCCTCGAGCTCACGTAGGTCCTCTTCGGACACCTCGTAGCTGCCCTTGACAGCCTCCACATCAATGAAATCGTCACAAGAAATAAGGCTGGCCAACTCCATCTCACCGTCAATGAGCTTGCGCAGGCTGATGCTCGCCAGGCCGCTGGACTCCGTAGCTGGTGGTCCCCTGTGCTGGCTCTGGAGCTCCACCAGGGCGGATGCCACCTCGGCGTCGGCGGCCTGCAGCTCGTCGGCCAGGGCTCCAACCGTGACCGCCAACTCTTCTGTCGCCCGACGCCAGCGCTCCAGCTTCTCGAACTCACTGTTAAGGCGCTTCTCGAGCTTCTCCTGCTTCTGCTCTGCGGCAATGAGCCTCTGCCTCCCCGACGGCTTCGGGGGTGGAGCCGCCCTCTGCGCCAGGGCTCCATAGCGCGCGGCCCCCACAGCGTCCCCAGCCTCACGAGCCAAACGCTGTAGTTCGAGAGCCTTGCCCTGAGGAATCTCGGGAACAGGTCCAGGAGGGAGAGCCGAGGAGAGGTTGCCTGTGCCCTTGCCACCGAACAGAGCTCCCTTGCCGCCTTTATAACCTTTCTTCCCCTTGCCCGCTCCCTTTCCCATCTCGTCCGACACCTTGGGGGCCCCAGGGTCTTCCAGAGGTTGGGGTCGAGAACCGAGCTTTTGGCCACAATGCTTGCAGCACATCGATCCTTTTGAGTTCTTTCGGCAACCGCAGTGGTGGCATAGAATTTCTCCTTTGGGCCCAGCCACCGTCTTCCATTCCTCCTCGTGCTTGGCTCGCTGGCTGTCCCATTTGTCCCACTTGTCAGCCGATACCCCGCCCTCAGGTATGGTGCCCCCCCAGCGACGGGGCCTGGAGGACTGGACCCACGGGCGGCGCTCCCACTCACCAGGGCCAGCAGGAGCCATGGCGCGAGAGCAAGGAAAGGGATGTTGGAGGCTCGCGAACCCCTCGAGTGAGGGACCTCCTGATTGGTTGATAGCTGCCGCGGACTAGCGGTATCCGTTTTTGCCAATGCGGGCTCAGCCCGCCAAAGCATGGGTCTTGAGCCAAAATGGCTACGGAAGAGGAGGAGGAGGAGGAGGAGGAGGAGGAGGAGGAGGAGGAGGAGCGTCTCTTGGCAGGGGCCTCCGCCGTACCCCCGACGGCCTCCCCGCTCCCCCGCCGGCCCCCCGCGCCGCGCGTGGGGCGGCGGAGGCCTCCCCAGCAGCAGCGGCGGCACCGCCGCCGCCGCCCCCCGCGGAGAGAGCCTCTGGGGCAAGCCTGCGGAGGTGGCGGCCGCCCGACTGGCGGCCAACGACGACGACGGCGACGACGACGACGGCGCCGACGGACAACAAGGGCTGAAGACGACAACGACGACGACGGCCACGAGGACGACGGCGGCGACGACGACGATGACGGCGACGATGACGACGGCGACGACGACGGCGACGACGACGCGACGCCGACGGCCGATGGAGGACGACGGCTGACGACGAGGACCACGACGACAACGGCGGACGACGACGACGACCACGTCGACGACTACGACGACAACGGCGACGACGACGACGCCAACAACGCCCACGACGACGATGACGACAACAACAACTGAGACGGCCGACGACGACGACGGCGACCTCTGACGACGACGGCGACGACGACAACAACGACGACGGCGACGCCGCCATCAACGACGACGAGGGAGACGACGACGACCACGACAACGACGGCTGACAACGACAACGGCCAACGACGACGACGGTAACAAAGACGACGAAGACAACGACGGCGACGGCGAAGACGCCGACGACGACGACGTCGGCAACAACGACGACGGAGACGACGACGACAACGGACAACGGAGACGACTACTGCGGCGACGACGACAACCGACAACGACGGCTGACGACAACGGCGACGACGACGACGACGGCGGAGACGACGACGACAACGACGGACAACGACGGCTGACGACGACAACGACAACGACGACGCCAACAACCGCGCCGACGACGACGACGATGAGGACGACAAAGACGACGACGGCGACGAGGACGACGACGGCGAAGACGACGACGACGTCGACGACGACGCCGCCAACAACGACGACGACGACGTCGGCCGACGACGACGACGACGACGGACAACGACGGCTGACGACGACGACAACGACGACGTCGGAGACGACGACAACGGTGACGACGACGAGAACAACAACATCGACGACAACGGCCAGCGAAGACGAGGACGACAATAACGTCGACGACAACGACGACGACCGACGACGACGCCAGCGATGACGACGACGACGACAACAACGACGACGACGACGACGACGGCGATGACGACGACGACGACGGCGATGACGACGACGACGATAACAACGACGACAACGACGACGGCGATGACGACGACGAAGACGACGAGGACGACGACGACAACGACGACGCCAACGATGACGGCGACGACGGCGGCGACGACGACGACGGACAACGACGGCTGACGACGACGACGACGACGACAACGACGGCCAACGGCGACGACGTCGACGACGACGACGGCGACGACGACGACGTCGCCAACAACGACGACGACGACGGCGACGACGATGGCGACAACGACGACGACGACAACGATGACAACGGACAACGATGGCTGACGACGCCGACAACGACGACGGCGGCCGAGGACGACGCCGGCGACGACTACGACGACGGCGTTGACGACGACGACGAAATCATCAACAACGGAAACGCCAACGACGGCGACGAGGATAACGACGAGGACGGCGACGACGACGACGATCAACGACGACGCCAACAAGAACGACGGCGACGACGACGACGACGGCGACAGACAGCAACTGCTAACGACGACGACAAAGACGACAACGGCCGACGACGATGGCGACGACGACGACGACGGCAAAGACGACGACGACGACGGCGACGACGACGAAAACGCCGACGACGCCAACAACGACGACGTCAACGACGATGACGACGAAGACGACGACGACCGACAACGACAGCTAAGGGCAACGTCAGAGACGACGACGGCCACCGACGACGGCGACGACGACAACGACGACGGCGATGACGACGCCGATTACGACAACAACAACAAGAACGACGACGCCAACGACGGCAACGACGACGACGACGACGACGGACAACGACGGCGCCAATGACGGCAACGACGACGATAATGACGACGACTGGCTATGACCGCCGACGACGACGACAACGACTACGACGACGGCCGACGACGATCACCACGGCGACGACAACGACGACGACCCCGACCACGACGACGAGGACGTGGACGAGGACGTGGACCATCGACGACGACGACGGACGAGGATCGCCAACCGACAACCGACAACCGACGACCGATAACGACGACGAGGGGGCGGCCGGCGGCGCGCGCTGCGACGTGGCTCGCGCTGGTTGCAAGCGAGGGGGCTACACGAATGAAAGCATCGTTTTCGTCGCGGTGGCAGAGGCTATTCTTCCTCCTCAGCCTCCTCTTCCGCAGCCTTCTCCTCCTTCTGGTTCGTATTCCTCCTTTGATGCTGAATCCTCCCAATCATCGTCCTCATAACCCTCGCTCGTGTTCTTCCCTTCTCCTCCTCTCGTCTTTGTCCGTTATCCTCCTTCCTCCCTCGCGAGCCATCACACTCCATTACTCGTCCCTCCCTCCCTTGCTCCCTCCCTCTTCTTCTTAGTCCTCCTTCTCTTTCTCCCTCTATACACCGTTCTCTTTTCCTCCGTATCTATCCCCGCCTCCTGTTCCTCAGCATCCCCAGCATCCTTATTAACAGATTCCTCCTCTTCCCCCTCACCTCGTCGGCATCATCATCCGCATCATCATCATCGCCACCGTCACAAGCATCACTAGCATCATCATCACCATCATTAGTAGCATAAGCATGATCATCATCCTCATCATCATCACTATCAGCATCGTCGTCATCATCATCGTCTTCATCACCATCATCACCGCCAACGACAACATGTTTATCATGACCACCACCACCGTCATCATCAGCATCATCATCATCATCATCATCATCATCACCATACTCCTGCCCGTCCTCCCCCTACTGTTCCGCTTGTTCCTCCTGCTCATGGCTACCCTCCTCCTCGCTCCTCGCTATGTTCCTCTTCTTCATCCTCATCCTCCCTCTCGCATTGCATGCCTCCAGTCCTCTCTCCATCCCGCATTCTCTTCTTCCTGATCCTTCTCCCTTCTCCTCCTTTCCCCCTAGTGCCCTCGCCATTTCCATTCGCGGTGTCGTGCCCCATCCTGTTCCTCCTCCAACGCATTCTCATCTAACTCCCTCCATCCTGCGCCTTATCATCCATCCTCCTCCACCCTGCTCATCCTCCTCTTTCCCCATTGCCTTTAATTCCAGGGGTTGCCTGCCAAGGGGCCCTCCTCGCATCACGGACTGCCGCGTGCATTCTGCCCTCCAGAGGCAATGGTTCATGTTCATAGACTGTGGATTCGCGCCCCTGATGTCATCCCATGGTCTCGATCCCGTGCGACAAACAATGGATCCGCGCTCCCAAGGTCACGATCCCTAGTAAAATCAATGGGTCTACGCTTCCGAGGCAGGATGCTGTGTGAAAATATGGATGCGCGCTCCCAGATTTCCAAGACAACCGAGGCAGGCAACGAAGGACGCCAAGATGACCCACGATGCCTCCGAGCCTGCCCAAGTTAGCCCCAGGGCGGCTCAAGATGGTCTCACTACGGCCCAAGAGCCTCCCAAGACGGTTCAAGAAGGTCACAAGGGGATCCACAGTGAGGACCCGAAGAAGCCCAAACCTTTCCCACCCATTTTGAGGACGTGGGTCATGGCTTCGGCGAGACAGCACCCCGCCTCCTCACCTCCTGCTGCCCCTCCCCTCCTCCCTCCTCCCATCCCTGCACCCGTCCTCCGCATGCCCAGTTCGGCACACCCCTCACACGATTCGTGGCCTCATAGGGAGCTCCACCTGAGGCCCCGGAGGCACCGTCCACGTGGTGGCGTCACACGCGTTTCGGCAGACCCCTCACAGGTTTCGTGGCCCCAAGCGGAGTCCCACCTAAGAACCCAGGGACACCGCCCACATGGTGGCGTCACAGCCGGTTCGGCTGACCCATCACACGCTTGGTGTCCCCATAGGGATCTCCACCTAAGGCCCCAGAGGCACGGTCCGCATGATGGCGGCGTCACACCCGTTCCACCGAAGGTCCCGAAATTGCACCATCTACATGGTGGCGTCACACCCGTTTCGGCAGACTCCTCACATGCTGTGTGGCCACATCGCTTCAATAAGAGCGCTTCTGGATGCAAGTGGAAAGTGGGAGTCCTAGCCGTAGTGGTCGTCGTTGCAGTTGCACTGCTCGTAAAAACGGTAACAGTAGTAGTCGATGTAGTAGTAGTACTACTACTACTACTAGTTGTAGCAGTAGTAGTCGTAGTCGTAGCCGTAGTAGTAGTAGTAGTAGCAGCAGTAGTAGTAGTAGTAGTAGTAGTAGTCGTAGTAGTAGTAGTAGTAGTAGTAGTAGTAGTAGTAGTAGTAGTGATAGTAGTAGTAGTAGTAGTAGTAGTAGTGGTAGTAGTAGTAGTAGTAGTAGTACCAGTAGTTGTAGTAGTAGTAGTGTAGTAGTAGTAGTAGTAGTAGTAGGTAGTAGTAGTCGTAGTAGTAGTAGTAGTAGTAGTAGCAGTAGTGAAAGTAAAAGAAATAAGAATGACAGCAGTAGTCGTAGTCGTAGTCGTAGTAGTAGTACTCGTCGTCGCCGTTGGCGGCGTCGTCGTCGTCGTAGTCGTAGTAGTCGTAGTCGTAGTACTAGTAATAGTTTTAGTAGTAGTCAACGTAGTAGTAGTAGTAGTAGTAGTAGTAGTAGTAGTAGTAGTAGTAGTAGTAGTAGTAGTAGTAGTGGCAGTAGTAGTAGTAGTAGTAGTAGTAGCAGTAGTAGTAGTAGTAGTAGTAGTAGTAGTAGTAGTGGTAGTAGTGGTGGTAGTAGTAGTAGTGTTAGTCGCCGTCGTCGTCAAAGTCGACGCCGTAGAAATAGTCGTTGTCGCCGTTGTCTGCGTACTCGCCGTAGTTGTCGTAGCGGAAGGAGCAGCAGAAGTAGTAACAGAAATATAGTCGCAGCAATAGTAGTAGTAGTAGTAGTAGTAGTAGTAGTAGTAGTAGTAGTGGTAGTGGTAGTGGTAGTGGCAGTAGTAGTAGTAGTAGTAGTAGTAGTAGTAGTAGTAGTAGAAGCCGTCGTAGTCGCGGTGA